TGGTAAATGGGATTTCCTTGATAGAGTGCTTCTTGAACTCTGTTCCTGCCAGAGGATGTCAAAATAATGGTGATGGGAAACATATCATGAAAAGAGAGCCAGAGGAAGGTCTTGGGTAGACCAGTCCATCTTACCTCCCCTCTTGCTCCAGGTTACAGTCTCCCCAGTAGCTAGATCCACACTCTTCTATTCCTCAGAGTTCACTGTGTCTCCCATTGTGTGGATGTGCTTCCTGTAAGCTGTACCAGGAAAATGACCCAGGTTATGTGTGATTCTCCATAGAAAGTAAACAAGTTGCATCCTGGACTGTTTCACCAAACTGTTTTAAATTGAGCCCCAGAAACAGCTCTGCCAGTGGAACTCACAAGGGATCATGGAGATGGTGTAGGGTAGGCAGGGAGCCTTGGAACCTTTCACACTGCTTCTGCAAAAATTTTAATGTTTTCAGCTGCTCAACTGAAATATTGCTTTGATTAAATTTTCAATCCTGGAAGCATCCAGTCAAATTAAGTTGGCAGATGCAGATTCTGCAGAAGATCTGCAGAGGGAGATCTAGTCTGCTCTGCTTTGACATTTTTCCTTCTCTCCCAACAGCAAGGGCTTGGGACAGTCTCAGAGACATTCTAGTCTGCTCCTGTGAGGTGTCTGCCTCTGCTGTGAGTACAACACACATCATGAGGTCCCTCAGCTGTAACTCTGACCAATGCAGTCTTCTTCTGTGGGCAGGCACCTGCTGTTGCAGATGCTGGTGGTGACATTTTGTATAATGCTCTGGACACTGGAACCAGTGCTACAAGGAATTATTCTGAGTATCGGTGCAAAGAAGGAATTGTTGCCATGGCTAGAAGGAGTCAGGTCATGTGGGGAGGATATCAACTTCTGGTGTGAATAAGATTTTCTAGGCTCTTTTTTTTGCCAAGTCCACAGGGACTGTCCAAACAATTCTTCCAAGAAGACTTGGCTAAAGCCTTAACCAAGGATGTTCAAAGTGTCCTGTTTCCATTGGGGAGTAGAAACCACAACTTTAGAATGTGTCCCAGTGACTTGACTAAGTCATATCCATAGAGGAGCTGCCACTCCATCTAACTCCTGAAGCCAGACATGCAAGAGGCAGAGAGCAGACAAGGGGCAATGGCCTGGCTGAGTATTCAGCCATGGAAAGTCCAATATGCCCAGGATGATGTCTCTGTTCCTTTGTCATGGTAATCTGCTGCTCAATGTGGACCTAAGGACTGAGAGCCTTGATTATCCACCTTCTCAATTAGATTTCCTATGGCTCATTTTCTACGTTGTTCCAATGAATCTTGCTGGCCAGGGATGGGCAAAGGATGTAAATGGGAGAGTTGGGGCTTTTGCTGCCTTACAACTTGATTTTAGAGTCAGATGTGTGGGTTGTTCAAAAGCTGTACTTTGACCTTCCTGCAGAGCAGAGTCAAATTCAACAGTACAAGGTACTTCTGGGCTGCAAGTGAACACTGAAAACAAATGTTGTCTACTATGAAGGTTGTTTCTCCTCTCTCTCTTTCAGCTTCTGTAGTGCTGGAGATTGAGCAGATGATCAGTCTTGCAAAATGTTTGCCTGATATGTTTCAGAGGGCTTACTCTCAGCTGCTAAATTTGGCTGATTTCCTTCCTAGTATTTAGTAATAGTATTTTTAACAAATGCTAGAAAAATGAAAATTCCCACATTTCAGAGCTGAAGGGAACAGAACAACTGTTATGTATCCATTATTCATAGAAACATAAAATCATAGAATATTCTGAATTGGAAGGGACCCACAAGAATCATCAAGTCCAACTCCTGGCCCTGCACAGGGCATCCCAAGAATAACACCATATGCCTGACAGCATTGTCCAAACACTTGAACTCTGGCAGGCTTGGTGTGGTGGTGAAGCTGTTTCAGTGCCCTGTCACACTCTGGGTGAATAATCTTTTCCTAATATGCAACCTAAACCTCCCCTGACACAGCTTTGTGGTGTTCCCATTATTGGCCTATTACTGGTCACCAGAAAGAAGATGAAAGGTCCTGCCCCTCTTCTTCACCTCGTAAGGAAGTTATAGACCTCTATGAAGTCTCCCCTTGCTCTCCCCTTCTCTAGGCTGAGCAAAGAAGCCACTTGAGCTCCTCCTCCTAAGTCTTGCTCTTGGTGCCATTCACAATCTGGGTCCCATTCCTCTGGAAAAAATGTAATAGCTTGATGACCTTCTTGTCACCCAAAACTGCCCACAGCACTTGAGGTGAGGCCCACCAGTGCAGAGCAGAGTGGGACAATCCCCTCCCTTGGTTGGCTGGTGATGCTGTGCCTGACACCCTCCCAGGATGTGTTTGACCTCCTGGCTGCCAGGGCTCGCGGGTACAAGTCACTGATATGAGTCACAGTTATATTCAGCTTGCCACTGATGTATTCTGTGGCACTGGTCTCTGGCAGAACCTGACAGACCTGCAGTTTTCAGGGTCCTCCTTCTTGCCCTCCTTGAAGCCTAGGACATTAGCCAGCTTCCAGCTGAGTGGGATGTCTCCAGATTCAGGCTCATGCTCCCCAGGGGCTCCTGGCTCTGTCCTGTGCTGAGTCAGCCTCTCTTGTGCAAGCTGCCAGCTCCATGTGAGCCTCTCTTGGGTTTCCCCTGGTTCTAGAAACTCGCCCTATTCTCCATGATCCCCTGCCTGGCTGTGAGATGTGCTTGCACCAGAGCTGTTTGCCTCAGTGAGTAATGGTTGAATTCCAATGATTAAATTGGCCTCACATATGCCACCCACTACTTAGGATCAAACCAAGGCCTAAGATTCTGGTATGAAGAGATCATAAAGCCTGCAGGATAGACTTTTGCCTGGGACAGATCTAAGGCTGTCTCCTTAGTGTTTCTCTACCTACAGCATCTAAACTCTTCAAAGGTAGCTTGCATCCTACTGAGTGTTGCAAATTGCATGGTAGTAGTACAAACACACACACACACACACAACGTCAAGTACATTCCATGCAGCCCTTCCCTTCACATATGCATTTCCATCTGTCCAGATGTTCCAATTTATGTGTTTAGACTGTCCAGTTCCAGGCACAAGCTTCCTCCTGTACCTTCCTTCTGCTTTATGGCAATATCTACTTCTTCTTTCTTCCCCATATCTCTCTGCTAGGGCCTTTCCATTCTACAAGCTCCACATCTCATCTCTCCCTGACCTTAACATATAAAAGAGTGAAAACAGATTAGGAGCAGATCTTCAGGTTTGGCCTCCCTGGTCCGCAGCCACTTGAGTGGATCAAGAGCTGATGACATCTGTTGGAGAAGGAAGAAGCTAGGGCTTGCCAAAGAAATGTGGTCTTTGGAGGGCCATGGCTGAATGCAGCTGTGATGTAGGAGGTGTGAAGAAGATGGGGAGGAACTGGTGTGGCACGGCTGCTGAGCTTGTGATTGGGTTTGCATCATCTCAGACTCAGCACGTACTCAGGACTGGGTTGGCCAAAGGCAGGCACAAACTGTTCCCTGAGGTCCTTCCATAGGGGAGCCCTTGCTCCTAGGGGGTCTAAGCTGTCAGGATGCTCAGTGTCCTAGTACTTGTTGGCCTGTCCTCCCTGGCTGACTGTTTTCCCAGCTGCTGTCCTCTCCAGTGGAGGAGGTGACTTTGTGTGAGTCATTCTCTTCGGGAAAGAAACCTCTGGGTTCTTCCCCCCATGGTGTGAGCAGCTGAGGGGAAAGGTATCCATAGCTATTTTATTTTCAAGGTCTCAGCTGGGGGCAGGAAGATTGGAAAATGCAGACTTAAATTTGTAGCTTAGGGTGTAATTTATGAATAGGAGTTGAACAGACGCATGCAGGAAATATTCTCACAGACTTTAAACTTTAAAGCTAAACAGTTCTCAAGTTAAAAACAACATCAACTTCTTATTTTTTTTTTTCTTACACAGGATGGTCTGGTGGGACACGGGAGGTCTGAGTTCTATTTGTGTCTCCTGTCACCAGCTTCCTATGACCTTGGACTAGCTGCCTAACCTCTCTATGCGCCTCTGTTTCCTTCTCTCTAAGAGGGGGATGATCACATTTACCTGCTCCATGCAGACACTCTTGTGACTTGTTTCATAGTATAAAAATATAGCAAGGGCCGCAGTGGGTCAGACTGAAGACCTGACTCTCGCAACAGCCTTTCTCTGGCTACACAGGGAAAAAGTGGAAACACAGGGCTTGAGTTTTGCTGTCACGGGCTCTCTGCTGGTCTTTTGCAAAATAAAACATGTATGGGAAACGTAACATATGTGCATAGGGGAGGAGAAATATATTTCTAGCACTGCCCTGAATGTTACAGAGTCAGTGAAGGCCAGCAGCGGAGCTGGGAGCTGGCAGGGCAGACTCCCTAAGCATCCTTAGCCAGTGCTGCCCCTTCCTGGCTTCCCTGCTCTGAGCGCTCTCAGTGCTGCTGGCTGGGACCCGTGCTGGTCTGGGTCAGGCCCCGCACAGAGCGGTCTGTCCCGCTGCTCTCTCTCCCAAGAAGGGCGGGCAGCGGAGCCCAGGGCCCCTGGGGCACGGGCAGCGCTTTGGGCTCTCCGAGCATAGCTCCGGGCAGCCGGGCACGGCTGTAAATGGCCCCGCCCGACCCGGCACCCGGCTCGGCCGCCCCTGGCGGGACGGGGCGCTGTTAAGGTTTTCCTGTGGAGCAGGCGAGGGTCTCTGCAGGATCGGGATCCCACCGCTCTGCATTTGGTCCAGGAATCGCAAGTCCGCTTCACGCCCTCCCTAGCAGAGCCTGACGGCGTGCGAGGGACGAGCCCCGCTGCCGCCCCGGCAGAGCTGCGGCCGCGGCGGCTGGAAGCAGCCCGGACCCGGGCTCCAGCGGGACGGCACGGCCAGGGCCCTGGGGGCCGGGGGCGGCCGGGACCGGGAGACCCGCGGGGCAGCGACACCGTGCCCGCCGACGGGCGGACGGGCGGGGGACGCGTCCCGGGGAGGGCGTGCTCCCGGCGGAGGATGTGGGCGGGGGGGCGGAGGGGTGCGCGGCGAGGGGTGGAGAAGTTATAAATCAGCGAGGCTGGGGCTGGCGGGTATCTGATGCCCGCGGGAGGTGAAGCTGGCAGGGCGGCCCGCAGCGGATACTCCGTTTCCGCAGGTCGGGCCGGGCCAGGCTGGGGCGGGCGGGCAGGATTCGGGGGCTGCTGGATGCGGATTCCGCGCCTCCCTTTGCCGTTATCTCTTTCACTGCGGGAAGCTCCCGGGACCGAGGAGAGCCCGTCGGAGCCCAGCCGGCGCCTCTGCCCCTGCCTCGCCGCCGTCGGCAGGGAAAAAGCCCTGCGCTCCCGCAGGCAGGACCATGCCCCGCCAGCTGCTCTCAGGGACCGTGCTGCTGGGAGCCGCCCTCCTGCTCGCAGGTAAGGGACCGCTGGTTCGCGCTGCCCCGGTCAGACCTGTTCTGCGCCGAGCGACGGGTGCCCAGTGATGCGCCTCGTCGGCGGCGCCTCCAGCGCCCCTGACCGGTCCCGCAGCACCCCGCTTGTCCTCTGGAGCCGGCGGGCACCTGCCTCCCCTTAGCCCCTTTCCTCTGGGCAGGGCCGGGGAAGTGATCCCTGCGTTCCAGGGAGCGGAGAAACGCCGCATCCCTGAGCTGTTGTAATGCTTCGGATCCCCGTCGGCGTGTGCCGGGAGCAGCCCCCCGGAGGGTCCGGCGGTGCGGAGCTGTGGTGCCGCTCCTCCTGCAGCAAGGCAGAGGTGGCGTGGAGGCCAGCCTCTCCCGGGCATAGGGACCGCCGTACACCATCGGGAGTTGTCCCAGCCGGTGCGTCGCGGAACGAGAGCATGTCTTGGCTGCAGGGCACGCTTCTTTCCTGAGCACTTTGTTTTCAAGCGTGCCAACTCTGCCAGTGAAGCGGCAAAGGTGTACCTTTTCTTGGCAAAAATCGAGGTTCTGCTGCCTCCCGCCCGAGCAGGTCGGCGGCGCGCCGGTGCCGCTCCGTGCGGGGCTGGCTGCCGGCTCTTACTGGAGAGTGGGATGGAGCTGCTCTCCGGTGCCTGCACCCCGCAACGATGGGAATGGATCGTTGCAGATTTGATGTTCTTAACCGAGTTTTATTTTGTTTGAGCCAAGAGCCAGTCCCCGTGGGCCGGAGCGCCGCGGCGGGCGGTGCGTCCCAGCCTTGTGTGGCCGCTCACCCGAGAGCAGGGGTGCGTGGTGGCCGGGCACGGGCCGGTCCCGCGTGGGCTCATGGCTCGGCAGGGCGCTGCCCTGCGGGGATGCCCGCGGAGAGGGGCGGACCGGGCCCCGCCGCCTGTCCCGCCCGGGGCAGCGCGCACGGCCGCGGGGACCGCGCTCGGCAGCCGGCAGGGAGCGAGAACAAACCCCGGGTGGGGAGGCGAAACGCCGAGCTCCCCGCGGGACAGCCGTGGAGGGCAGCGCCCCTGCGGTGAGCGGCGCGAGTGGCCGAGGGCTCGGTCTGTCCGCGCCGCCGAGCCCACGGGAGCGGTGCCGCTGCCTGAGGCTGCCCGGGAGGAGAGCTGGCGGGGCCGCTCCGACGAGACGTTTTCCTGCTCGGGAAGTGCTGATTCATCAGCTTTGACAGAGATACATAGGTATTCTTCTACACTTTTTTTCCTCTTTCCTTTCCCCAGGAAAGTGCTAATTTCCCCACATTATTTGTCTCTGCCTAGGAGGTTCTTATGCCCAAGATGAAATAGGCAGAGGCATGGGACACCCACCCTGGATACAGGAAATGTGGATTCAGATCCTTGCCAGGCTTCCTTCACAGCTTGAATCTGAACTTCGGCGTCCTGGTCCTGCATGGGCTCCTGCAGTGACCAGCTCCGCCAGGGGACTGGCTTCCTCTTTCCTGTCGGAAAGGTTTTCCATTGTGCAGATCATGGCAAGCCCACTGCCCAGGGAGAGGGTGGATTCTCTGAGCCAGGGGCTGTGAGAAAGACCCTGGTTCACCTTCCTGTTCATGTGCACCCTGCACCAATCCCAGTGGGAAAAGTTTGGCTTGCTTAGGGGACAACCTGGCGCTCTGGGCGCTGGGGACAAACATCCTGATGGCCAGTTCAGGTGCTGTAGATGTTGGAAAGTTTCTTCTCTAGTTTGCCTGGGTGCCCTTACAACCATTTTGCTGGAAGTTCATACCCTCCCCATGTAGAAGAGATTGTGCTCAAATCAGAATTTGAATGTTTTCAGACTCATTGGCTTTCTTGGGTTTTTTTTGGTCTGTTTTCTAGAGGAGCATTCTTGCTCAGCTCTGTTTGGACACCTCAAACAGGTTGATTATGCTTCTTCTGGGCCACTGGCAGAACTCTCCATAGTTACGTTTGCATAGAGAGTTTGAAAGTTATTGTTGAAGTGGTTGATGTTTTGTACCATACATATCTCTGTGTTTTGCTTCCCATTTCATCCTCCTTCACTGCTTATTTACCTGCAGTTCTTGTTCAGGCTGCCCAGCACTTTCCATTTGCAGTGTTCTTGATGAAATTCAATTCATCACTGGTGCCCTCTTGTAATTCAGTCTCTGCAGGTGCCTGCTGAGCTTCCATTTACTGGCAGGTTCTAGGGGAGATTGTCAGAAACAGTCAGTGGCTCAGAAAGAACCCAAAAGACCTCCACAAGGAGGAGACAGAAGGGGGTCTTTCAGCCCATATTTGTCTACTTAATAACGCAAAATTCCCGAAAACAACATGCAGCCTACAAGCTTTGAGAGTACCCATTTGAAAAATGAGATTAGGGAAATTAAATTCATTTGACATGTGAGTGTTGGGCACTTCAGCTCTCTTGTGCCACACATATTTTGGTTAACTTGGGAAAGAAAAATACTTTTTTTCTGGGTTTTGCATAGAACTCACATATGTTTTCTTTATATCTTATAATTATTTAATCCCCAAATTTTATTGCATATGCTTGCTAATGACTGTACACGTAGCGGTCAATAGGAATATGTGGATGCTGTATTAAGTTCAATCTCCCAGTCCTCAACTTTATTACTATAATTATATTTATTACTATAGTATTACTATAATTTTAGTCACTAGCATTTGGGATTGTGAAGGACTTTGTTTAAACCCTGAAAACATCAGACTCTGCAGCCTGGATCAAGATTTATGCACAATGTTTCTAGAAACGTACACCGATGGTTTAGCTGTACTTCTGGCTTTCCACACAGAAGTGGAACCTCACAATTTGCAGTTAGAAGGTGGTAGACTCTATCACAGTCTTATCTGTGAGCAGCACTATATGATCTCAGTTATTTCAGTAGCAACTAGAACATCAAAATCCTCAGTGGACTTTTCAACTTCATGCCCCGCTGGAAAAAGTGAAGGAAGAAATTCCAGGTGAAATCTAATCAGTGCTGAGGTTAATTTCTTGCAATAACTTACCTGACTTCTCTGAAAGTGCTGTTCAGATGGATGTTCATATGTTAAGGTTTCAATTTGATTTGAGTACTTGCTGAAGTAATGACACAGATTGAATGGTCCAATTTGGCATAAGGGCTGGAGTTATTAACAAAGTTGAGAAAAACTGGCTTTCCCACTTCTTCTTCATAGAAACAGGGCTCCCTAAAAATTCTGAACTGTGTTCATATAAAGGAGAAGGGTTAGGAACTGCAATACAACAGAGCTTTTTAGAAAATGTATGTTGTGTAGGGAGTTAAAGCATCAAACTTTCTGACACAAAGTGAAAGAAAATCACTTACAGAGCTAACTGATGTTTTACCAGACAGGTGTTTTTCCCATGTGCTCTACACAAAGCTAGATTTCCTTATCTTACATCTGGTGTAAATCTGGAGCAACTCCTTTGGGATGGGCTAGCATCTTCTAGATTACACTTTGTGTTGGATAAACTTGGACTTGGCCTGTGCTGTAGTAAAGATCTTCATATCCAGAAGCACCCAATATATTTAGAACCCTAAAAATTTGCTTTTGAGGAGATTTGAGAGGTTTTTTCGTTGTGTTGGGTTTTCTTTTTTTGCATCCAAACAATAACAAACAAGCTGTCTATTTTTTGTCAGATGCATCAAAGACTGAAACCAGTAGCCTTCCACATTGTGTGGGTGTATAGGACAAAAGGAAATTGTCCAGATTTGCAGGACAGTTGATAAGTCTTTTGGAAACTTCCAGCACACTGTTTATCAGCTTGCTAATTTTCATGTCCAACTGAGATTGGGAAAGGAAGAAGCTCAGCAGAAGCAGTTGTTGGTTAAGGTTTGGTGTTTCAGAAGTCTGTGTCAGAAGGCAGTGGTGGGACTTAAGCAGCAAAATTGTTCCTTTGAATCCCCCAGAGTCAGGGTTTGGGACTTCCTGCTGCAGGTCCAGAGGGAATGGAAAGCAAGACTACTGCAAGAGTAAGTTTTGCATGAAATGCCCAATCACCGTCACCTCTGCTCTTGTAGAGAAATCTCTCCCGTTGGTGTGAGACCTTCAAGAAGCAAACTGCTCTCTCCAATGACATGCTTCATCTTTAGCTCTCATCCCTGCCCCCAGTAGTCTCTTTTTTCCCCTTTACCAAGATTTGTGAGAATGTAGAGAAACATTTCTGTATTTATTTGTGCATGAATTCTACCCACAGACAGAACCATGCTTTTCTGTCTTTGTCCTTGTGATGCATCCTCACTGCATGTATTCCTGCAGTGGGGAAGCAACCTCTCCCAAGCATCCTCAGCTGTGAATGGTCTGACTTCTTGATGCATCATGGGGAACTGCTTATCCTAAAATTGGTTCCAGTGATTGTCAGGAAGGTGCCCACACAGTTTTCTCTTCCTGAGATGCAGAAGTTCAGTTTCATTCTCCTGTGGTTGGAGATCACAACTGCATAAATCCTGATGCTTAAAAGAAAGAACTGTGGTGCAAGGAGGAGCTGGAAAAGTGAAAATGCAGTCATTAGTGCTCTCTCCAAGGCCAGGCATGGCATAATATCATGCCTTTGTGACCAGAAGAATGAACTCATGATGGAACTAAGCAAAGTGCTAATAGATTGAGAAACCAACAACAAGGGCAAAGAGATTTGAAACTCTACACTTCAGAGGTACTTTTGTCTGAAACATAAATCTTGAGCCATTGAGATCTATGGAGAAATTTGGACAGGGAATGCGGATGACTGTTTCTTCTGCATTAAGCCATATTTGCATTTGGGGTGTTTTTTGTGTGGCACAGTGAGTGGAGATGTGCCAGACTAAAGATGAAGAGGAAGATGATTTAGCTTGATGTGGTCCATCAGTGTATTTTAGACCACTATAGATGTTTTTGCAATAGTTAATAGATTCATTAATAATCTTTCTCAGACTTTGGTTTGTCTTGTGTTAATGCTGAAGCAAGAAGTTCATGTTCATGGTGAGCTGATTTTACTCTCTCTGTTGTTTTCCTCTCAAAACGCAGTTGATTTTTCATTACCAAAATCCAT